GTCTGTCTGTCTGTCTGTCTGTCTGTCTGTCTGTCTGTCTGTCTGTCTGTCTGTCTGTTTATGGTCTCAGCTTTGCTTGATTGCTTTAACAGAAACAATACCCAAAATTAAACACATGAGTACAAGCAAGCATAGTAATAAAATAAACCTGGTGGGCTCTTACCTTCAGAAAGATCTCGAAGCCCTCATGGACCGTAAAGTCACTTAGGGGGATGACGCTGGCCCTGTATTTGTTGCCAACCGCCAGACGGTTCGTCTCCACACGGAACTTGTGTTCATTGCCAGGGGGGATGGCTGAAGAATACATCAGAATGGACACATTATAGAAACAATATTGAGCAAAAGTCGAGTTGCAGTTTTAAAAAAGTGTTGAAAGACCCAAGGAAGAAATTCTGACCATGTATGTTATTTCTAATAATTTGTATTTGTACACAGTAAAGTTTGCGGCGTTCTTTCTGCTGCTAAAGGCTCCAACCGTCTCCCATCAACTCTAAGTCCAAGGCGCTTTGTGGCGTAAGGGTATCTTCAAACTTTTGATTCAAAGGCATATTGCAAAGGCACTCAACACTTATCATGTACTAAATTAGTCATATGCATTGTAGGTCGGATTTAATGGTAGGGTTGAGATGCTCTCGATTCAAATTATGCAATTTTACACACTTGTATGGATGAAAGTAGGCTGTGGATGTAGAAGAATATATTATTATGACCATTTGTCTACATTCTAGTGAAGAGGATATAGTTATTACTTGAAGCAATGCTGAACTCGATCTCGCTTCCCATGCCCAGATCCCGGTCAAATGCCTCAATCTCGACGTGACTCTTGACCTTATTCGGGACGGGAAACACAGCGATTGGAACATCCTGTGAAACAGAAGTAAAAGATAACATGTTAAAATAATATCAATGTTTTTTTCTCGATTATAATCTATTCCGTTCGAAATTACCAAAGGCATAATTTATCGACTGTTTATGAACACATCATCATCATCATCATCATCATCATCATCATCATCATCATCATCATCATCATCATCATCATCATCATCATCATCATCAAGTGTAAAACAGAAACAAAACTTCCATAAGAGATTAACGTAACATTCCTATCTGTAACAGAATCAATTGCATTTCACAAGTTTAAATCCTTGCCTCAGACAAATTTTACACAATCTCCAGAATTTTTTTACCAATGAATCATGTTCGAGCCCAAATAAAATATTACCTTCTTCAATGTGAGGCCAGTGGTGTACTTGGGCCAGGCACACACGTCGTTGTGTTTGAAACATCCCTCGTAGACAAAGGCAGGTCCGTTGTCGTCGCTGTCCTGTACGGTCAGAGTGAGTGTGGCGGTGGCGGTGAGCTTCATGCCTGGCCCGCCGTCCTGGAGGAAGACACCACAAGAGGAGGAAAAAATACAATAAGTAATGATAAAGAAATACAACACGGACGGATATTTAATTTTACAAAAAAAATTGACAGTGGTTTTAAAAAAATTGTTTTTTATTGTTTTTTGTGTGTTTTGTGTTGTTTTGTTGTTTATTCAATAGCTCTCGGGCAGCCAGCTTGTAGCAGAAAAAGAAAAGATAACATGAAAGAAGAATAAGATAACATGAAACGACCTTTATGTGTCTTTCATTTTAAATAATTGACTTTTTTTCAGTAGCACTAGTATAACAAATATTGCATGATGTATTATAATATATAACCTCAAGGTGTTGTACCCCAATGAGAATGTGTCCACTCTCGTGCACGAACGGGTACAAACTTGTTTCTCTCTCTCTCTCTCTCTCTCTCTCTCTCTCTCTCTCTCTCTCTCTCTCTCTCTCTCTGCTTCT